GAAAATACTTTTATAAAAACATTTTTATGAAAGTACTTTTACCAAAGCACTTTTATGAAAATACTTTTATAAAAGCACTTTTATGAAAGTAATTTTATCAAAGCATTTTTACTGAAGTACTTTTATAAAACAATTTTACAAAATTACTTTTATAAAAGCAATTTTATGAAATTACTTTTATAAAAGCACATTTATGGAAGTACTTTTATAAAGCACTTTTACGAAAGTACTTTTACAAAACATCTATGCCAACTTGTCACGGTCTGACACAAGCTTAGCCTTGCCTACACTTGGCAAGCTTACGTTAAGGGACACCACCATCATTTTCGCCTGTAAGGTTTTTGGGAAAAGTGATGTTATCTTCAGGCAGACCTCCAAAAACTTAACGTACACTTTGAGGAGGGGGGGTTGACCTCCTTGGGTGCCTAACCTTGGCACTCCTAGACCAATATCCCTTACGGGGCGGCCCTGGTTAATGGCTAGCATGGCCACATGCTCATGGGGACAGTGCATGGATCGGCACTACGCCACCGACACTCAAGGGAGGCTTAGCATACGGGCCTGGCTCAAGCTAGACCCTTCACCACGCCAGCCCCTTGCCTAAGCTGAATGAGCTATCCCATTGCCCATAGCGCACGGATGTGTTCCGGACCAAGCGATCATCATCGGCACTCATATGCCTACATCATCGGTGTATAGGAGACCCATCACATCGGTGCCAAGTCACCTCACATCATGGCCTTCCCCCTTTAGCACATAAGAGGCGCCTCCCATGGACCCGCAAGAGCCAGCCGAGAGACCCGACCATGCGACTCGAGGTCATGATCTAATACTATTGACCTTGGTGGAGCCATCTCATTGGGCAACTCCTAGCCCTAAGCACACATCAAACTTGTCCTAGCCTGCCTTGGCCTAGATGTTGCATGGGTTTCTTCCGTTGCAGAACTACCCCCGTGATAGTTGGTATTAGAGCAGATGCACACAGAGCCAGTTGAAGCGGTAGTCTCGACAAGCATCACATCGTGGGGTGCGGTCCCTAGGCACTTCCACTTGGGTTCAAGCAAGCAAATCACATCAAGCCTGGCAAGAGGCCATTCATCGTGTCCCCATTCCAATGACCCCAAAACAGCGCCCATGTGGGGGCAGACGCATTGAGCGCTGTGCTCATGCGGGGGTAGACGCATGGGCCCTTTTCATGGAAGGCATATTGTGGTGGTTTGAGTGGGGGAGTGCCATGCTTCCTCACAGACATCAGTTGCTATTCATTTTAGTGAGTTGTGGGCGGTGCGCCTACATCTTGGTTTCATGACAGATGAGCCATTGTTCCATAGCTTTGTCTGAGGCACTTCTAAGGCGGGGACAACAGTTCGAAATTGGTTGGTGTTGACGGTTGGTCAAGGAATATCACTGAAGTGGTAGTTTTGCACAGAACAGGTCCTTGGTTGAAGCCACAATATTGGAATGATAGGAATGTGGGTACACTGGCCATTGGAGCATGGCGGTCCTACACCAGCAATTAATCAGAGGACATGCTCAGCATTCACATAGGTGGAACACTTGCGGTAGCAACAACACATCACAAGGCGAGTGCATGTTCGGCAACATCATGGGTAAAAGTTGCCACACTCGCGTTCATTGCGGTTAGATCTCCTTGAGGCAGCAACACATTGGGGCCCCCTCGGAGTGAAGAGGTAGCCGGAGTTGGCGAGGCGAAGTGTAGTTTCGAGGGCCAAGAGAGCATAAGCCATGGACTATGTTTGAGTAAACCGCACACGGCGAGGTGAAGTCTACAGGCCAGCATGGTGAAAGGGTACCTAGGGCACATCACCAACAGTAGGAGTAAACCTATCACAATGTGTTCGGTAGCACCACCGAAAAGCTACCAAGAAGACGGTCGAGCCTTGAGGTAAAGAGATACATGGGGCGGACCTCCGCGAAGCACACACATCCAATTTCTTCGAGGGCCCTTCTTTCACACAGTTCAATGGCATAGCCATTGCACGGTTTGAGTAACCTCAACACTGGGGGTGAAGTCTAGGCAGGCCGACATGGTGAAATGGTTCTGTCCCCATAAATGGACACCAACATAGGCGAGACTCGAGTTGGCCAAGCGAGCCCAGGAACTAGCACACAAGTGGATGGTGCGGGACACAGGCGCCCATTCACAAGAAGAGCCATTGTCAAGGACGACAATGGATTGAGTGAGGGAGCTTGTCACGGTCTGACACAGGCTTAGCCTTGCCTACGCTTGGCGGGCTTACGTTAAGGGACACCACCGTCATTTTTGCCTGTAAGATTTTTGGGAAAAGTGATGTTATCTTCAGGCAGACCTCCAAAAGCTTAACGTACTCTTTGAGGAGGGGTGGCCGACCTCCTTGAGTGCCTAACCTTGGCATTCCTAGACCAATATCCCTTGCGGGGCGGCCCTGGTTAATGGCTAGCATGGCTATCAGGGTTCCTCATGGGCGCACACATGCTCATGGGGACAGTGCATGGACCGGCACTGCACCACCGACACTCAAGGGAGGCTTGGCATGCGGGTCTGGCTCAAGCATAACCCTTCACCACACCAGCCCCTTGCCTAAGCTGAATGAGCTATCTCGTTGCCCATAGCACACGGGTGTGTTCCGACCCAAGAGGTTGCCTATCATCATCGACACTCATGTGGCTACATCATCGGCGTACAGGAGACCCTTCACATCGGCGCCAAGTCGCCTCACATCATGGCCTTCCCCCTTTAACACGTAAGAGGCGCCTCCCATGGACCAACAAGAGCCAACCGAGAGCCCCGGTCATTGACTGTTGGGGACCTAGGCTGGCAGTTTCTGAATACTGGCACAGTTTTTTTTTTGAAGAATGAAAATGAATAACATAGGACACTTGTAAAAGAATTCATTTTTAGGAAAGAAAGTGTTTGATTCATAGCAATACTTTCTCATTCTGCCTACTTTTACCCATTCTTGTCCATTTTAGAATTTCATCTTGGGTAAAAACGAGAAAGAATGGGAATTGAACTAAACATGGCCTAAATTACCAGAATAATTTGTTTTCTAATAGGCAAGGGTACAGGCCCCAATTTGATGGGGTGGAGTTTCAGTACCTAAGTGATGAAGATAGGATTGGCTGGAGAGGCCATTTGATGAAACATAAGTGTTGGCAGTTCTCAAAGACCTCAAAGGGGACAAGTCTCCAATGCCCAGTGGTTTCCCCATGGATTTTTATATAAAATGTTGGGAGACCATCAAATCAGATGTCATGGTGGCTCTTTAGGACTTCTATGTAAACTGTACTCTGTCCTATGCAGTAAAATCTACCTTCATCTCACTAATTCCGATGTTATAGGGTGTTGCTAATTTGAAGCACTATCGCCCAATTAGCCTGATTGAGACTTTTTACAAATTACATTCATAGGTGCTGGCTAACCACATTCAGAAAGTGATAGGAAAATTAGTTTTACCTTACCAAGGGGCTTTTGTGGATGGACAGCAGATCTTAGACAAGCCATTAATAGAAAATGAATGTGTGGATTCAAGAGTTAGGCAAGGGGAGATGGGAGTCATTTGCAAGCTCGAGTTGGAAAAAGCTTATGACCATGTTAGGTGGTAGTTTGTAGACTACATTTTGAGGAGAATGATCTTTAGCATTCTTTGGATGAAGTGTATTGCTTATTTCATCTCTGATTCAATGTATTCAGTGATTATTAATGGTGCCTCTGTTGATTATTTCCCTGGTGAACGTGGCATTCGATAGGGTGATCTGCGAAGAAGATGGATACATTGAAGGTTTTTAGTGGGGGCTGACGGGCCAAGAGTTTCCTCTGTTATAGTTTACTGATGATACCATCATTTTTTTAGCAATCTCTTTAGGCTATAGTGTGGGATCACTGCCGACGAAAAGCCTTGGTCTTGCATTGGGGGCAAGTTATAATTCTTTTTCTATTTGGGATCTTGTCATTGAGCAGGTCCAATCTAGACTGTTTGGTTGGAAGAGTAAGTATTTATCTAAAGGAGGTAAGCAATTCTCATCTAAAGGAGGTAAGTATTTATGACTCCCTTTGGGGTGGTAAATCGCTTGGAGAAGATCAGAAGAGATTTCCTTTGGGAGGGTCCTAAGGAGGAACAAAACATCACTGTGGTTTGGAGTAAAATTTGTGAACCCAAGGAAGCTAGGGTATTGGGCTAAGGTCTTGCCTCAGTTTGATGCCATAGGGGTTGAAGATTTTAAGGATGTGTGATGCTCCATTATTTTTTGACTAATAGCTATCGGTTTGTTGTAAATGCTATACTGAATTTCTTAACATTTCTTTGGTTTTCTCTCACTAAATGTATATGTTAGAATAGCATATCCACTATATTTTTCAAATTACAACAATAGAACAAGTGAGAATGTCATCTCTATTCACTTGTTCATTCATGATTCATGATAATGGTACCTACCAATTTACAAACTGGAAGTAATAGTTATGATTTTTATTTAATAAAAATATCAATATAACAAAAATTAAATAAAATTTTCAAATGATTTTTACTTAAGAAGATGATAGTACTCCATAGGTATCACACTGGCTTCAAAGCTGAACTGCTTTATTGAAATGATTAGATCAATTTATTGCTGAATTTATTATGATTTTATACAATTTATTAGTAAGGACGGAAGTGCATCAGGACTTTGACTTGTGAAGTAGTATATTGAAGTTGACAAACAATTTCCAATGGAGAAAATATGCTTTTGTGCTAACAAATTGCATATTAAGTTTATATAATTCATAGCGTATTTCCAATTTTCTCTTTCATTTTTTCCTTAGCTTTTATGAAACAGTTAAGACAGATCCATACAACATGCTATAATTTTCATGTGGGAAATGTCTTTTTTATGGGTGTCTTGATATGAACTTGGATGCATGATACTCCAGAACAAATAGGTAATAGAAATTTGCTTAGGGAGATGCAAAGAGTTGATGAGCACAAATGGATGACATAGAAGTATAATTGTTCGAATAATCTCTATTGACAGTGGACATAGTTTTACCTATCATTGACAGTAATACATAGTATTGGGCTGCAACAATTAAATATCAAAAAAGAATATCAGTACATGAAAATTTTCTATCTAGAATCCAAGTATTAGTTCTGTGAGAATATCTTGGGCTAGGTCTCTAATTGAGCCATCCTTGAAAACATGGTTCCAAAAATCTCAGCCTGATATTTAGCGTACTCCTTTGCCTTGTCCTTCAACTTCTTGTACTCGAGTTTCACGTCTCTATCGTTTCAAAAATACAAGGAAAAAGAAGTAGAATCCATATGGTTAAGTATTCTTTGGAAAATAAAATCTTGACTTGCATTTACCACGATGAATATTGTCAAAGGAAAAACCTGGATAAAAAACAAACAAACCTGTTATTTGGATCTACTGTAAGAGCTTTCTTGATGTCAATTTCAGCTTTTTCCAAATCAGAAGTTCTTATATATGACTGAGATCTTCTATACAGGGCCTTAACATTAAAGGGGTCTAGTTCCAAGACCTGTTGAAGAAGAATTTAGTTTTGTAAACTATGTGTGTTTCACTTTCAATTTTCAGATAAGACAGAGCAAAAATAAGAAACCTTGGTGCACAGTCCTGCAGCTTCAACATACTCTCCAAGCTTAAGTTTACAAGCTGCATTATTCAAATTGCATGATATTCTTAATGCATTTGCCTGGCTTTTTTCTTCATCTGTGAACGAGTGATCAAATTCAATGTATTTAACAGCCTGCAAATAGTAAAAAATGACTCTTTAGCTTGCATAAGATGAGGAAGGAGATGGATTATACTGTTTCTTTAGATGCTTTGAGAAGTTTCTAATTGCTTAGTGTTTATGTACCATAAATGACTTTCCTTTTCATATTTCTTTGAGGCAAACAAAAACTTCCCATTCTTAAAAAGCATATTTCCATCTTCCTTCTTCCTTTCACAGGTCTCAATCTTCTCTGCTGTTTCCATCTTCCAGAATGGTTTTTCCTACTTGTACAAAATATACCTCAAATTAGGAAACTAAATTCGGCAATTCCACAAATGCCATATTATGTCAGGACTCAGAAGTCAGAACATTCAAAAGGGGAACCTTGGTGAAACTAATTAGCTCCACTTCGTAAAGAAGAGTTGCACTTTTAGGGAAATCTTTGGAGACTGCATTGTCAAATCCATAGTCTGGACTAATGGTAACCAGAGCCTTTTCACCTTTCTTCATGGTCGTGATTGCCCTGTCTAGGCCCTCATGAATTTTCCCTGAAACAGAGTAGAAGAACCAAATCTCAAGCATTTCATAAATAAGAGCCTAGATTTTGAATTTGTGCATTTTAGAAACACTTTTTACCTTCAAAACACATAAGTTCAAAAGGCTCTTCAGATCCTTTACTCTCAAAAATGGTTCCATCTTCAAGCTTGCCAGTGTATACCACTAGAAAGAAAAGGATGAGAATTATACTTAAGACAAAGTTCAGAATCTCAACAAGTCCTAAATGGTAATAGTCTCTTCTTTGGACACAAAAGAAGGAAGATATGTGCTAGACTGTATAATGAAAAGTGAATCGGGTTTACCTTTAGCCAGTGATCCTTCACTGGGGCGATCATAACCTTCACCTACTTTGATAACTTTTTTCTTTACTTTCTTATCATCTGTGACATCAATGACACTCTTCCATGATACAAGCTCAAGATGAACAGATAAATTGGACTTTGGTGGGAAACTACAATCACTTTTGGTAACACCATTTCCATGTTCAAGGCCATCTGCACATGAGTAATAATAAGAGCAATCAAGAATCTTGTTAAGAAGAAATTGTTCAAATCTGAGTACAGTCAAATATTAGCAATCCTGATAGAGGTGTAAAGTGAGCCGTGCCGGGCCAGCACGGCACCGCCTGCAGGCGGCCCGTGCAAAGTGCCGTGTTGGCCCGTGGGCCATCACGGGCCGTGCTGCCCTCCTCGGTGAAAATTTTGGGGATCGGCCTGGCATGGCCTATGGCCCAGGCCCGTGTGGGCCCGTGCTGTGTCGTGGGCTGGGCTGGCCCGTGGGCCAAGCCTTGGCCCAAGTCGGGCCAAAGCTAATTTTGCCAATTTATTTAAAAAAATTGAAAAAAAACTTAAAATTTTAATTTTATATGAACTTTGATGTGTACAATTGCTTATATATACAATAATTAAATAAATTAGTATAATAAAATTGAAAAAAAATATATTTATTTTATTAATATATTATATACTATATATTATTATATAATTATAATTTATATAATATATTATATATTATATATATAAATATACAAAATATAAATATTATGTATATATATAAATATATATAAATAGTTGAAAATTAGTGCAACGTAACTTACATGAGAACCTTACTGATAACTCTGCCTTTTCACCTTTTCGCATTGTTTTTACAGCTTTGGCAATTGCTGGGCAGAGATAACCTGCTCAGAGTAGTAGGATTATGTTAACAGAACTTTTCCTCTCTCTGAAAACTATTTTTGAACATTTCCTTTATGAAAGGAAAAAGGGCCCAATTTATAGTAAAGACACCTTGGAGCGTATCACTGCAAAAGGTCAACTTACCATCACTTAAATGAAATTCTATGCCGTCATCTGACTTTGAGATAAGAGTTCCATCCTCAAGTCTGGCTTCATATTTAACTGTGAATAAAGAAAGCAGAAAATTGTTAATCTCTGACCTTCAGGAAAGTACTTACATAATTAATATCTGACACTCAACAAATCCAACTTGATTTCAAACTGTAGCAAAGGCCTAAACAAGGCAACATGGCTAAACCAATGGACTCAAAATTTGGAACTCAGCACAGCAAAGATAAGATAATGTAAAAATATTATTTTGGGGTGCACTTGTTTTAATTTAAAATCAGTGGAATAGCAAAATATTAACTTAAACAGATTTAACCAAGCAAAAAATTATCCTATAAAGGCAAACCAAGAAAATCAATGAGAAAACTACCTAACACTTCATCTGCATCTTTGGGTGTCGACCATCCCTCACCCTCTTTTATTATCTTTTTCAATATGCCTCCATCACCAGATAAGTCCCTAACACTGCTCCAAGACAGCATCTCCACATCAAAAATAAGCGTCGAATTCGGAGGAATCATGGGGGGAGAAACCATCTCCCCATAAGCCAACTCTGGAGGAATGGTGAAGATTGCTCTCTCACCCTTCCTCATGGTGGCAACCCCATCATCCCATCCTTTAATAACCTCACCTGAAATTCAATTCAATACAAAGAAGGAAAAGTTACTAATACTGTTACTAATACTCTCATCACAAATCTCCACCTACAAATTATTCCATAAACAGAAAACTGTTAAGTTAAATTCTTTTGAACTCTATGAGAGAAAGCTTAAAAAGAATGAGTGAACCAAAGAAGTTCGATGAATTAAGAATCGAATCATGAAGGTCGAATGTGTTTATAGCTTACCTTGGCCAAGTTTGAATCTGAATGGAGTTCCTCTGTCTCGACTTGAATCAAAATCAAGACCACCCTCCACCCGCCCACTGTAATGGACTGAAAACATGAAACCCCACCATTAAACAAACAGAACATGAAGAAAAGAAGATTGAAGATGCATGGAAAGAAGGTTGAAGATGCATTTTGTTCCTCGACAGTTCTCAGACCTTCGACTTCATCCCCGGGAAATGGAGTCAACCATGAACTACCTTGCTGGATAATCCTTTTTCTCAAGCCCTGAGTTCCAATTTCCCTCTCTAAAGAATATGGTAATTCAGCTTTCGAGCTGGATTTGAAGGAAGAAACCGCCATTCACGATGCAGAAAGCGAGAGAAAGAGCGAGACGAAGTTTGTTTCCAGAGTAATAGATAAGCCGTTTGTTTCCCTCCCTTCGATTGTTTTTCAGTTAAGATTTTTCGGTTAAGGTTTTCCAACGTATTACTAGGGGTGCGTAATACGCACCATATCCCTATCGGGAAACGTCCCTCGGTTCCCAGACACAAACACGTGTCTAGCAGGCGAGGACAAATCACTGGGTGGACCCCACAAGGAGATTCCAAAAGCGAGGATCAGGATCAAGGTCATCGGATGATCAGAGAAAGGACGTGTCACATGACCGGGGATGTGTCAGACTCGGATGGAACCGGATGGTTGAATCGGTGACCCGGTGACTCAAGGTTAAATGATGGTTTTTCTTTTTCATGGTTTGAATGGGCAACCGGCTGATTAATGGATAAAACCGTGGGTCTAACCCAGATCAGTCCGGATTTTTTACTATAAACCGGATGATGACATAAAACCCAATGCCAGACCGACCCTAGTACTGGCTCAGATTGGCCTGTTGTCAACCCTCAGCCCAGCCCAACCCCATTCAACGTACAAAAGCCCAAGTTGGGTGAGAAGTTGGAGCAAAGAAAGTTGGGAATTAAGATAGTCTGAGCCTCCGAGGAACTAGTTCGCAATTAAACCCAGGCTTTCACATGTCTAATATGGGCCAGCCCAACTTTAAATGGCTTAGGCAAGGCTAGACATGGGTCTGTTGGGTCAGACTCAGACCGGACACAAAACCGTTTTGGCCATTCGGTCAAATGTTGAAATGTTCAACTGTCCAATTTAACCGGTTGGATCATCAAAGCCTGGTTGGTTTTTAATGGTTCTGCCGGGTTTTGACCGGTTCTATCGATTTTTCAGAAGTTTAAAACACAGGGTTTAAAAAAAATAGAATGTCCTCCAGTTCCCGGGCCTAATAGTCCAACCATCCAGTCGATCTGGGTCTTAAAACATTGGTGTGGGTTTCATTTGCACTGATATGAATGCACAGAGAAGTGCAAATAGGCTGAGAGTAAATAGAGAATTAAATGAAGCAATCCCCATTTTAAATTGAAGAGAATGGAGGTAGGAGGAGGGGGCAATTTGTTTGGGAGTATCTAAGGTTCAAAGTTTTGCAACATATCAGACTGTATCGGCTGATACGTATTATTCAGATATACGTGTGATACACAGAATGCATAGAAATTATCTGTAACATTCGACTCCTTGTACATTGAGGTTTCGGAATCCTCCTGTAGCTATCTTTTGTATTGCATTGTTGGGAAACCTAGCACTTGGGCTACACCAGATATTAATTTCATATCTACATACCACTGTTTTCAAAACTGGACCAGATCGGACGGTCGGGAATAGATCACCTGACCGATTCCATTTCATCTCAAAATCGTTTTTTGGCTAAAAACCGTTGATTTGATCAATGAACTGTTAATTTAGATTGTCGAACCGTTGATTCAGACAACAGTTTTTGGCCTTTTTTTAATTTTTTATTTATTTTTATCAGAGAAGGCCATCCATTTGGACCGGATGGTTGGACCGTTAAATCTGAGAATCGAAATCAGAAAAAATTTCTGTCCGGTCTGATTTTTAAAACGTTGCTACTACTACTACATTCATTGGAAATTAATGCAAGCAACAAAAATTGTTGGAATTACAAACCGAGCATTAGTATCTATACACGAGGATTCAACCTATGTTCCATAACTAGTTTGAAAATTACCACATCTGACTTTATCTTCAACACAAACAAATCCATGAATAATGGCTTATTTATGCCAAGAAATTTGGAAACATCCAATATTTTAATTTTAATGGATCCAAAGCCGAATTATGTTTTAGTTTAGATTACAAATAACATGCATATATGTCCATATACATACAAGATTATCTTTTTCTTTTGTTTAGGCAAAATCTATAATGCATCAAATGCACCATGCCCATCTCATCCATACCCCTTAATTAGACCACCTCTTGAAGAACTTTTGCTCATTTCAAAAGGAATGGAAGTTTGTCATCGGTTATCCTCTGAATTTCATTTACACGGTCGGTCAAACAATAAGCCCAGTCAGCTCTATTCAACAGAATCCCTTTTGGGGTGATAAGTTGCAGAAGCGGGCTAATTCGGTAGCTCAAACCTAGATTTTAATGGATTAGGATGGACTAGGCCATGAGCCCACACACTAACGCCTATGCCCTGTCTGACCTCAAAAGTCAAAACCCGGTCTAGCTGCAGGGCTGCATGTTACCTAATACACAACCACTGAATCCAGGTTGGGTTAGAGCTAGTACAAAAGTTCAAATTGAGTTCGACTAACAATAGACATGAATTTGTCTATACAAATGACAATCCAAATGTTATGTTTGAGTATGGAATTCTTTGTTTGGAATTAAGTTGAAAAAAACAAAAGTCTGAAGGCAAAATTTTATAGTGGTAGCATAGAGCTTGGGCCTTGGGGGATGGAGGCGAAACCCCATATGGACCTGATCCATATTCTTCAATCTAAATATGAAGAGTTATGTATTTTGGGGTTTTTCCTATTTGAATTCTGGACTGAGAGGAAGTTGAGTGATTTTGGGTGTATTTTGCGGTTTAGGGTTTTCTGTGAGTGAGGTCTCCGTTGCTGTTTTCATAGTGGATTCATGAGACTTCATGTCGCTGCATTCACATTTTCATGAACTATCTTACATAGCTCTCTCGGATTCCTTTGTTCTGATCATGATTGTCTCCACCGACGATAAATTTAAGATACCCATTGATCTGAGGTTGTCTCCAGAAAAAGATTATCATCTCATTGTCTGAAAACTGTGGCGGAATGTTCTACACCGGAAAGGTGAGGTTACCCAGCTATAGCCAAGTGACAAGTCCAAAAACTGGTTATGGGAGGGGTGTAGCCACAACCTTTCCATCACTGCACTGATATGAAACCAACACCTGAGAGCCAACAATGACGGTGGAAATTGGGTTGATGGCCCAAGCAAACCATCTTGAAGACACAGTCACGGTGTACCGATATACAATGTCAATTGTTGGTGAGGATGGGTTGTAGACTAGTGAATGAAGGAATTCAAAACGGGAAGATCATTGCCGGAATGGGAGAGTCTGTTATTGGGAAAGGTATAACTTGAACACAACGACTGAGCATAGGATGGAAGGAATAGACAAAGCAGAAGAAAGATGAATAAAGTTGTATCCATCATTATGAACCTGTGAAATAGCTAAACCCGGAAGGAATTCAAAATCTATGATGAACTGGGTTAGAAAAAAAATGAGAAGTCTGAAACTATTAGGAAATCTGAAGGGGAGATAAAATAAATGAGTTTATAAGAAAGTCTCACAGAAAATGGTAATGGAGATGGGTTTCAGAGTAAGATGGTGAGATTGTTGAGTGATCTGGTATGGTTATATAGGGCTAAGAATTGGAAAGACAGTCTGCACTCCAACAGTCCAACCTTCATATAGGAAGATGATTTCTAATTTCTAGTTGTATCAATTTTAATTGGTACGAGTTGAACAGAACATGAATAGTCAGATTTCCACAATTGCAACAGTAATCTTACCAAAAAATAATCAGATTTCCACAATTATTATCAGCGGTTGTAAAAAAAGAGGGTAAATTGTTGAAATTTCCCTTGAACCTTGGTAATTTCAATCACCTCCCCTAAACTTTATGATTTAATTGCAAGTAGACCACATCTGTTAGAACCCTCTAACATAAGGCACAAAAATATCCAAAATACTCATACAGTTACTATTGAGGCGAAAAGGCAATACAAACTTTATAAACATGACAAAAGAAAAAGAGAATTTAAAGTTGCAGCTTTACCTTTGAGTGATTGATATGAAGGGAAATTTTAAAAAACAAATAAATTTCACAAAATAGATAGGAGGGGTTTGGGCTAACGATTCATATGAAGATAAAATTTGAAAAATAAACATCTTCATAAAAATTAACTACATGGATATTTTGGACGTTTTCATGACCCATTTTAGAGGATTCTAACAAAGGAGGTCTAATTGCAACTATGTCAACAAGTTCAAAGGAGGTGATTTCAATTACCAAACTTCAAAAAATATTTCAGCAACAGGTTGCTAGCTACCTAGCTAAAAATAGTTTCAATTACTAATAGATTGCCAATTTTCTCACAAAGCTAATGAGTTTCTTGAAACCCAATATCTGGTAGACAACAGATTGCCAGTTTTCATCTCTCACGAATGATTCTTGCAATAAAGACTTCAAAGAAAAAGGGAAGCTCCATTCTCAGCCAAAAAATGCATCTCTAAGAACAACTACTTCATTTAGCAAAGATGATCTTATGGTTGTATGACTATATCCTGTCCATACAATACAAAGACCACAATTGAAGATCCACATATTACACCCCTAATTTCTATACTCTCAAATGTTGTCTATCCACCTATACCTGGAAAAAGTGGACCAAACCTATGAACCCCGACCTGGCATAGCCTGGAGAAAGCAGGTTAGGGTTTCTTATCTAGTAGACTCAAACTAGAAGGTGGCTTGACCCGACACAATCCAATCTGAAAAGAATTCGGGTCATGTGGGGTCACCCATCTCAAATAAACGATTTCAAACCAGTGTTGACTCATATGATTCAACCATTCAAGCTGTTTGAACCAAATGATTAAACATATAATTTTGTTAAAAAAACTGTTGACTTGATCAAAGATCAGTTGATCCAAGTGGTTGAACTATTGACCCATTTTACACATGGATTTAAAACTAATAATTGAGGGGATCAAAAGTTAATAAACATGGGTAGATGTTCCATTGTGTCAAAATATAAATGGGATGTATAAAAACTGCGGGGATTTTGAAGGCATGGGGAGAGGGGATGGCTCCCCTTGCGCCACCCCTAGCTTTTCCTTTGCTAACCCAAATATTTATGGTTAGGGTCTGGGTCTAGACTTTGCCGGTCCAACTTGAAAGTTGATCCGACCTTAAATGATTCGAAAATGCCTTGACCCGATTCAAATCCGACCGCTTGATTATCATGTCTGCGCCAGGTTGATCAAGGCATGCCATGCCATGGTATATATTGTAGTATTTTAGTATTATTCATGGGTAAATGGGCACTAACCGGGCAATAGAATATATATAAGAATTGGTTATGCCTTACTATAGTTTTGTATTTTTGATGCACTAAAGTTTGATGTTTGAAAAGCAAAATGGCTCTGAAAGAAAATACTTTGAACATATGTGATTTCCGGTTTTGTGACTGAATTTCAATAGTGGTTATTTTACCATTTTGCACTTGCTGTTGAATTTGTGAATGGATATTAATTCTATTAATTTTATCAAATGGATATTCATTAATATTAATATTAGTTAATATTATAAATATGGTAAAATAATGATATGATAATAAAATAATTAAAATATTGGCATAACAATAATAATAAATTTTATGGAATATTAAAAATTATGAATAAAATGAAAATAATAACACACTAGTAATAAAAATAATAAAGTGATAAAATATTTATAAAATAACATATAATAAAATAAAATAATTATAAAGATAATAAAATATTAATAGAATAATAGAATATTTATGGGATATACAAAAAATATGAACAAAATTATAGAATAAATGTAAACTAGTTATAAAATAATAAAAAATAAAATATTTATCAAATTATCAAATACGATCGACCACTTTTAACGAATTATACTCTTAGGTTACTTTAATTTTAATAAAGGTTCAAAGTATTGATATGGCCGATATATTTATTTGTACCGAGGAAAAAAGACCGGAATACTCTTATCTCTTATATTTATTGTTTTGAAAAATCGGTTGAGTATAATGCACAGTAGTTATTATTTAATAATATAATATACGGAAGTTTTGAAAAGTCACAAATCCTTGAAAATCACGTCTCATTGACTAACCGACTACCATTCATTCCGACCGACCCAACCCTTAACCCGATATCTGGTTGGGCCAGCGCGGGTTTAACTTGTTTGAGGCAGCGCATGAATCCTAGAAACGTTCGAATTTCGAAAACAAGTGTTAATTCAATTTGCAACCACCGAAAGCAGTGGCAATGGTACCGTGTTGGATTATTTTTGGTAAGATCTCAATCTTAACCGCGTTAATGTTCAACTCGAACCCGTTAAAATCGATGCAACATGAAAATAGAAACCAGATTCCTATTTGAATTTGGAGACTTGGATTGCAGACCGCCTTAGTTCCCATCTCTATATAACCATAGCTCACCAACTCGAATAATCTCACTATCTTTCCAACTGAGAAACTCATTTCGATTAGCATTTTCTGTGATACAATTTCCGTAGAAAATCTCATCTTTTGTTTTCTGTTCAGATTTTCTGTCTAGTTTCATAGTTCTTTTTCTAGTTTTATCTCTTACACAGTCCGTAGATTTTGAATTGCAGGCTTAGTTAGCTATTACAGAGAGGTTCAAAATGATGAATATAGCTTTAAGACCGACGTTGTTTCTCTTTCTATTGCTTTCTCTTTTTCTTTTATGCTCTGCTCAGTCTTCGTGTTCAACTTACACTTTCTCCGGTAACCGAGTCTTCACTTCATGCAACGATCTTCCCGTTTTGAACTCCTTCCTTCACTGGAACTACGAACAATCTTCACAGAGGATTGACGTTGCATATCGGCACACCGGGACTACGACTTCAAGATGGTTTGCTTGGGCCATCAACCCAACTTCCACCGGCATGGCTGGCTCTCAGGCGTTCGTTGCTTACCGGCGTAATGATGGCAAGGTTATGGCTTACACCTCTCCCATAACCAGTTACGGGACTCAATTACAGCAGGAAAATCTCAGCTTTCCAGTCTACAACATCTCTGCACAGTTTACAGACAATGAGACGGTGATTTTTGCAACTCTGAAACTTCCAGGCAACACAACCAGTCTGAACCAGGTTTGGCAAGAGGGCCCACTTCTGGACAACAAACCTGGGCCTCATTCTTTTTCTGGAGACAATCTCAGATCAATGGGTACCCTGAATTTCTCGTCAGGCCAAACAATCATGAGGAGAGGAAGGGATTCAAGAGAGGTATTGAAAATAGTTCATGGAGTTGTAAATGCAGTGACATGGGGTACCATGATGCCCATGGGCGCCATGATAGCTAGGTACATGAAGGTTTTTCAGTCTGCAGACCCACTTTGGTTTTACTTGCATGTTAGCTGCCAGATTTCAGCCTACATTATTGGTGTTGGAGGATGGGTGAGCGGCCTCGTACTTGGGAGCAAATCTCCTGGAATACAGTACAGCGCCCACAGGTACATCGGCATTGTTCTGTTTTGCCTTGGAATGCTTCAGGCATTTGCGCTGAAGCTGCGGCCAAAGAAGGATCACAGGTACCGATTCTTATGGAACATATACCACCATGTGTGCGGGTACAGCACCATTGTGTTGAGCATTGTCAATGTGTTCAAAGGATTAGAGACTTTGGGTGCTGGTCAGAAGTGGAAGTTTGCGTACGCTGGTGTCATTGCTACATTGGGCGCCATTGCTTTGGGGTTGGAGTGTATTACTTGGTACATAGTTCGGAGAAGGAGGGCCAAGTGCTCTGATGAGTCTCTCAATAACACCAAAGTGGCAAAAGGGGTGGAAAGATTTATGTCTAATTCTGAAAAAGTGTAAATAGAGAAGAGGAAGGCTTGTTTGTTATTTGTATATGCACAGACCACGGTATATGTTAAATGCTTTTATTTGGTTTCCAATACAAAATTCATTTATTCTTTTATTTTGAACATTCTCTATCAAATCATTATCTCTCTTTATTGTTTGGTATTTTCATTCAYTTTTTAATTTGGGAAATTTCAATTCCTCTTCCCCGCTTTCCCATGTTTGAGAATTAAGCTCGACCACAGGATTTTATCTCCTCCACCCTCTAAAACTAAAATTCTTTTTTTTTTGGTAAACCTGCTTCTTCATTAAATAACAACTACACAGAAAAAACACAGAAAGAACAGAGGAGTTGACAAGGACAGTCAATTAAATCTTCCTTAAAAACCTGAGGAAAACATGAAGGAGAACAATCATCCAACTGAGCATTGGACTTGAAACCCATCATAGCAAGGTTATGGGAGGTTTGGGTTTTATAGAACGAAGATTTACAAACAAGGCCCCCTTAGTAAGTGGTTTGATGCTTGAGTTTCTACTTCAGTCTCTGATTTTTTTAGGTTCCCAAATTTGCTTCTYCATTATATCTCTTGGAACAGTTTGTAATCTTGGGTTTTTAAGGTTCCCAAATATTGGACTGACAAGAATGAGAATGTTGATTTGGGTCTTAGAGTGACAACTAAGAAAAAATGTTCCGTAGGTACGTATCCAATCTACCCCTCCCAATTCCCCAGATGGCTGGGACTGACATTGGGAAATTGCGTTTAGTAAGTGGTGGGTGGAATCCTAGTCTGGTTACATCCATTAATGTTAGATAAGTTTGGAAAGGAATTGAGGAATCCTTCTACACTTTCATTTCAGGTAGAGATGGTTCATATTTGGAAACTGGATAGTTCTGTAATTAGCTGTTTGACTAGCTTATCTGGTCAGGTTTACAGAACATTGGTATTGAGGTAGAGTAGCATTTCATTTTGTTTAACGACCAAAGTCCTAATCTTGTTAGACCATAATCTTCCTTTTTTTCTTATCTCTTCTCAACATTTAGTGCCTACAAACCATGATTCATGAACAAATAAATTCAGTAAATGGAAACTGCAAATATATGATAAAAAACAAACAGTTGCTTCAGTTCTAGTTTTATGAACAAATAAAAAGTAGCTTTACTTATGGTTTATTGAACCTCAATGTGTTTTTTCTTTTGGTTTTGTTTGATTGCCAACTACATACTAGCATCAATTCCTTTCATATCATTATCATCATCCATCCCTTGGACAAACAATAATGCACTTTACTTTTTCTTTGGTAAATAAACAAAGGATTTCATTAAACCCAGAAGTGAAGAACAGAAATGATACAAATCAAATCCAACAATAGAAAAGAAAGAAAACTAAAGAAAAACAAGAACTAAGATAAAATACWAGGGCAATCAGCAGCTAGTGCTCTTCAAGCCAGGGAGGGCATTCGTTCACCCATTCTTGAGAAAGCACGAAACCCATAGAGGCTACCAGATGAGCTGCCCCCTTCCTTGACCTAGGCACAAAGGAAAAAGACAAGGCCAGGTGCTTCACAAGCTCAAGAACCAGCTAAGCAGCTAAGATTGTCAAGAACCAGCTGAACACTAACTTTCACACCCTAGCAAAAGAGATGTTCAGCTAAGCAGCTAAGGATCATCTTTTGTTTTGTATCTGGCTGAATACCAAGAACTCGTAAAAGTCCTAAACATCCATGCAATCACAACTTGGGAGTTACCCTACAAAATCATCAAGGACAGACCTTGACTGACAAGAGACTTACCTCCWATTCAGATGGCCAGAAGGAACAGAATTTTCCAAAGAACAACAATCAGGAATTGCCCAAGTATCACCTTTGACCCAAAGTATGCCCTATAGAATATTTGATATCATTTCCTTTTTACACAAGCCACCTCTTACAAACCTACAATTTTGGAACCCATCAAAAAATAATATGTGAATCATTTTCTAATTGTATTTTGGCATACAGATTAGAGAAAACAGAAAACTACTGGTGGTAACTCACAGGGCTAATAATTCCTGACACGGTCAAGTAAGCAACTACTCATAGCTTGATGTTTGCAGCAAACCCCAGATAAACAAGACAAAGAATCTATTCAACGAGATAAAAACAAAAAGAWCAAAATATAGGAGGTCCTATAAACACTTAGATAAATAAGGGAAATTTAAAACCTTCCAAGAAAAACAAGTAAATCACCTTGTCCCCAAACAAAGAAAAAAAGATCAATGAGAATGCAGTAGTGATGCCTGACTTTGCTATTGCTGCTAAGAGTGATGAAGGTCCTCCACTCACAAAGGCAATCAGTGAAAAGGCTAAGGCACATGCAAGCAGAACAATTGCTATAGATACTGGATAAGGAATCTCCTTACAGGATTTAACACTGTCAAATCATGAAATATATGTATGAGCTTGATTTAAATTGGGCAATTGATGTCTATAGCACCAGACTATAGCATAATGTTCAATCAATGGATTTACACTATCAGTAAATCTATAGAAAGAACCAAGAATTAGAAAACCAGAACATGAATCATGATAATGGATTTACACTATCAGTAAATCCAACCCAATCTTGTATATACATGTCTAGCTAGATTKGATAATGGCCCAAACCAAGAGTTGGGTCTAGCTAGATTGCATAATTATGGAAGCACAAAGAGAAATAGTAAWATAATTATGAAAGAGGAAATAAACAAACACTTGAACTGATATCAAYGGGGTAAGTCAGCGGTAATGCATAGTTGCACCCCCCACAACTAGGCATAWTAGCTATCTACAACAGYAGCCACCAGCTGAAGATAAAGACCAATTCCRATGGATGTAGCTTGGGAAATMTGGGACGTTCAGGTGTATGAGGAACCATAAGAGACAGTTTTAGCACCACCTTAGTTATTTTTTTCAGGGTCCATTGAGCATGGTGACTCCACAAAAGCTGAGTTGTTAGTGATTAGACATTGGAGAGAGAGAGAGACTAGAGCTATGCCCATTAACTTTTTTTATCAGTAACTATAAAAAATTTTATTAGAATTTAAACATTGTATGCAAGTTAACAAGAGAAGGCTTGTAGACCAGCACATGCTGTCTACCCAAAATAAAGTCTTGCATCAGGTTCCCCTGAAAACAACACCCAATACATTTCTGTTCTATTTACCCCTTGCCTTGTTAAACCCTCAACCATACCAATAAGCACTTCTAGCAACCCAATGAAAGATGACATTCAACTCTTCTACCAAAGATTCCCTTAAAGTGAATCTGTATTTCCAAGTTGCTTGTGCGCTCTCTGTCCATTGACAAATTTTTTGAGAAACATGTATTATTTGAAATAACTATACCAATATRTCCGCCTTTCAGGTTTTCTGAAGTCATGTCAGACACTTCCTTTTAGTGTTAGAGAGATGCATTGTCCTAGTTAAATAGTTCAGTTCTGAAGTCTGGGATTATATTAGAGAGACTAGAGCTCTGCCTTCTAGAGTGAGCACCTTTTTGGTGTTACCTTCTTGTTGGAAACCTAGTATACGTATGTTCCAACTCCAAAATTTTTTGGGTATACAATATAAGGAACTGCAATTGCTATTTAAAATGATGACATTTACATGGTGATTACTCTCTGTGCCGTGAAATCATAAGAAATAAAGAACTCCAATTCTACATGAACTATTATTATTGAAATCTGGAGGACAATCGATCACCTCAAATTTAACACTTGGAGAAAATAAAACTATGAAAGAAGATCATTGTTAGGGTTKTGATTCAAATTCACTAGAAGCTTGTTAGATCATCAAATGTGATTACTGCCAATGTATGTTTCATACCTACTTTCGACTTAACTATCATCAAATATATTAACTAGAAAGAATCAATATAAACAAACAAAAGGATCTGAACCTACAAAAGTTAAGAAATCACTAACATTCAGCTGAATAAGTTCCAGAAGCATCTAAAATAAACACAGAGAGGGAAAGAGAGAGTCTCACCTGTTAATGTCGATATTTGGTTTTGTATCTGGCGGTGAGAAGGCCGAGATCGAGGTCGCCCTCTGGTTACCATCCGGTTGTGACAAAATGCGGACCGGGGTTGTTCTCCGGTTGTGAGAAAGTCGAGATCGAGATCGCCCTCTGGTTCCCGTTCAGTTGTGAGAAAATCCGGACCGAGGTCGTTCTCCGGTTGTGAGAAAGTTGGAGAGAGAGAGAGAGAGGGTGAGATACAGAGAGAGCAGGAGAAAAAGATTTATGCGGGGGAGGAGAAAAGGAGAACTAATTCATTTTTGGTGCCACCCTTGTAGCTGCAGTTGTAAACAACTGCCGCTATATATTAGTATTATCAGCGGCACTCTTCAACTGCCGCTACAAGTGTATTTTTTTGTAGTGACAGTATGCACCCCTGTTCCTAAGGCTAGTAATGAAAGAGAGACAGTCAGATTCCAGAAGAACACTCTGTAAGTTTAAAGGAAAAAGGATTCCTTCTTTCATAGCAAGGGATTCCACTTCAAGAACCAACCCTGTCATAAGAGGGCCTGATTTAGGTGCAACTAAAAGACCTTGAAGATCACGAATAACCACCCCAAAATTTGCTACACTTGGGCTTTTAAAGCTCACTTCAGTGTTTATCTTCAAAAAACCAACTGAGGGAGGGAGGTTCCCAGCCACACATGTCAAGGGTCTGTTGTGATCAACTGCGCATGCATGTTCTTATTTCTTTGAGGATCTCAGAATCTTCTCCATCAGATTCCTGCGAAGCATTTAAGTCCAACCTCCAAATGAGAGAGGGTTATCATCATATAAAGGATTATTTCTGGAATTCCACGTATGCAAGAAGTGATAACAAGGACTGCCAAAAAATGAAATTTCTCTCCAATGCTACTGAAAGGAAAATCAATCCAGTAAGCAAACCAAGAATCAAAAATAGAGCTGTCGCTGTCATGAAGTCCGAGAGCCAACAGACAGCTAAACCATAAGATTTAACTAATAACATAACTTTTCTCTCAAAACATGGCAAATTATCATATCAAAAAGATAATAGTCATTGTAAATCTATTAATTTCAACATTTCAAATATCACACTGTAATAAAATATATATTTGATAGAGCAATGCCAAATTAGCAACTTAAGAAGGCTATAATTTTATACTGATAAAAATTTAAGATAGAGAGTAACATAAAGAGAAAAAGAACAAGGAATGGAGCCCCTATTTTATTCAATGAAAAAAAAAAGAACAAACTTCTTTTATCCTTCTCCTCTCTCTCTCTCTCTCTCTCATGACTGTGAACCTTGAAAGTTTATTGATAATGGTAAAAGAATGTTATGTACAATGAGGAATGCCCATTTTGTTAGGATATTTTTCTCTACCTAACTCCACACATGTTTGATTATATATCTTTACATACAACTTTCATTGGTCACTGCCTGAAATAGCTGTTCCCTTTTGAACACTGTTGAGCAAATGAGTTTGTCAAATATTTTGCTGATCTAGGTATCAAAACAACCAATTTCCTTATTGAATGCTTAATTTTCCTTGGTTTGAAATATGCACAGGGCACAGTAAATGTTAAATGCTTTTATTTGGTTTGAAATACAACCAATTTCCTCATGGGGCACCCAAGTGAACTAGTGGGCTTGCCTTCACAAAGGAAGAAAATGACTTTGAGAATGAAGAAAATGAAGATTACAATTCTGAAGAAGCGTAAATAAAGAAGAGAAAGGCTTGTTCTCTGGTCTGGAACATGATAGACTGACTGATAATCTCCTTCCTGTGTAATTTTTTGGCTTGCCATTTGTACATGCATAGCAGTACATGTTAATTCTTATTGGATTCGAAATATAAAATTCTTTTACTCCTTCTAAGCAATCTCCATCATTCACTCTCTCTCTCTCTCTCTCTCTCTCTCTCTCTCTTCTTTTTTCATATTTAAGTTCATGCATTCTTATTTTATCTTCAGAAATTTCAATCTATCTGCCCTGCCTTCCCATGAGCTAAGCTAGAGGATTTTATTTGGCTTATTTCCAACTTAAATTAGCAAAGTTGTTGCTTTAACTAACTGTAATGGTACCAAACTACCAACTGCTTGTTACTAATGCGTTTGTTTTATTGAAAGAGAGCCCAGTGTCAATGGGCCAGCAATCCATTTTGTTTATATTGCCTAAAATGCACAGTCTATTCTTTGAATAGCAATTCGCTTTGGAAAAGCTTTGGCTGTTGGGGGCCAACAGCCTCTGCTGTTGAGAACATTATTGGGAATGCCATGTTGCCATAGAGTGGAATAAAATAGTAATTGCACCATATTTCTTTCTAACCATAAACATAGACATGGGCGTGACTTGGTCAGTGTGTCCAGCCTAAACACGCTCTCAACAGCATAGGCTGTTGGCCCCCAACAGCCAAAGTTAACACATCTGCTCTGCAAACTAATTCTTTCTTTCATTCATCTTAAAACATAATAATCTTAAAACAATCAGCATGAGTTAGAGAATATGATTTGGCAATCAAGAAAGATCAAAAACTGTACCAAGAGAATCTCTCGTATAAAAATATGTGAACTACAGTAAAAAGTGTGGTAATTGGGTGATGAGTGGAATAGTGACAAGAAAACTGATTGGATAAATAACAGTAACAATCAAGTGAGGAGCATAACCTCATACTGTTCAAGCAGAGATGCAAATAATCTTGAAATTCCATGGATTGCTAATTTCTATCCAATGCAGAAATGTGTACCAGAACCAAAAGGAAGGATATGCTTCATTTACATTTGGGTCATTTAAAACAAATGACCTGTCTCCTACATAAGAAAGACCCTTAGCAGCTCCTGCAGACGAAAACAAGATTATCCATAAATGGAACATGTTAACTTTCATGGTCATGTTTTTGCATATATGATAGCCACAACCCAATAATGATAGAGTTGAAGCTTCTGCTGTGAGATTACAGAACATTATGTGGGTGTTTGGCATCGATTCTGTTTTCTCAGAAAACAGCGCCATGTAGGCACCACATCAGAAAAAGTGGTGCTTCAGAAAACGCCCTCTTGTTTGGTACCATTTTTCCAGGAAAAACGTTGCTCCAGACCACACCTTGGAAATCGGGCAAATGTGGTCTAGAGAAATGCTAGATTCAATGTTTTCTCAGAAAACAGCTCATTGCTGCCAGCGGTGCAAAGATGTGGCATCATCTTTGATGTTGGATAATATAGACCAATGCCGAAAACAGTTCTACAGCACTGGGTACCAAACAAAACCAGTGCTGTTTTCTCAGAAAACAGTCTATGTGGAAGCACCGTTTCCAAACGAAAAATAAGGACCGTTTCCACCTCGTTCGCCCAGTGTTGACTTGGGAGGGCTGATCAAGAGAAAACAGAAGATTGCCACTTTCCACCTCGTTTGCCCAGTGTTGTGGGCCCACTATATAAGTGAATTAGCATATTTTGTAGCAATTTTGTCAAAATCTTACAATTTACAATACTATTCATGGTTTGAATCATGAATACCAAGGGTTTAGATTTGAACCAA